AATTACAAGGCTCATGACCTAGGATTGACCGAATCTGGGAACTTCACTACACAATGCCTGGTGTGAAGCCATCAGCCATGGTCACTCTGGCAGGTGCAACAGTTCTTGATAGACTGTGCATGTTGGGTGGTGGCTTAATGATCATAGATAAATGGAATGATAGTGGTCATCTTTAGCTAGCTAGTCAACTAGAGAAAACATAATATGTGCAGAAATATAGCTTATAACTGCAATAGAACAGAAACACCAGCAGTATCCATAAGCTGGTTTAGTAATGCTTTACAGTGTAACTACAAGAAAAATGTGTACTGACCTCCCCCCACCGTCAAAAAAAGTGAGAAGGCCCCTGATTTTGGAGTCAAATCATTTTTAATATTATTGGTCATTTGAGCAATAATGTGGCTATATTTTAAAACTGAAATAGTGAACTCCTATTCAGAATGATCTTGTCTGCATAACTGGCTGTACTGAGGCTGTCTTTTTAACTAGGATTATTGTTTTTCAGTTCCTGCCCTGTTTTATATGGTTACAAAGCAGTCACACATCTCTGTGGTAGAACCTAGAGTTTCACATCTTTCCTATACGAGGTTAAGCAAGTGCTTGTGTGTATTCATTTTAAATTTTGCTTTTATATCTGTTGTCCTTTAACGGAGTTCTGCTTTGAGCGCTACTTTTGTTAACACTGAAAGACTTTGCAGGTCTAGTACAGGTGGCACTGGAAACACAGTTTCATTTTATTTCTCATTATCCAGTAATTAATGGCCATGCATCTTATTATTTTATACCTCACCTGTCATGTAGCATCTGGCTGTGATCCTCCATGGTGTTACTCTCATTTTACACCTGTGTATCTTGTTAAAACTGCAATGGTGGCTTAGGGCCTTTGTGTCTATTGGTACCTAGGCTTTTGCTTTAAGCAAAGAACTGGGAGTCAGTTGATCTGGGTTCTAATTACGGCTCTGACATGAGGTTCTGGGGTGACTTTGGGCAAGTCACTTAATCTCTTTGTGTTGGTTTTGTCCTCCGTAGATGGATGCACCTGTGTACCTCCCAAGGTTGTTGCGAGGCTTTATCAATCATTTGTAAAGCACTAAGGCCTGGATGCACAAAGGGAGTTAGATGTCTAAGTCCATTTTAGTTTCAAGACCATTGCAAAGCACAAAACCCCCACTGAACCCTGTAGGTGCCTAAGTTCCTGCCTCAGAGCATGTGCACTGCCACATCACTGTAGGCATCTGGACACCTATTTCCCACCTAAGCCCCAGAGCGAGTCACAAACCAGGTGTTCAGCTGTCTAACTTGCATGGGGGAATCAATCTTTCTCTCTCTCTCCCATTGACGATATAAGTATTTATGACTAGGATGGAGATGGTGATTGTAAAATGCTCAGGAAGGTTAGAGAGACTACAGAAACAGAAAACCCGGTAATGGGGGGATTTCAGCTACTCCCATATTGATTGGGTACATGTCACCTCAGCATGGGATGCAGAAATAAAATGTATAACCACCATTAATGACTGCTTTTTGGAGCAGCTAGTCCTGGAACCCAAAAAGGGAGAGGCAATTCTTGATTTAGTCCTAAGTGGGCCACAGGATATTGTCCAACAGGAGAATATACCTGAACTGCTCGGTACTAGCAACATAATGTAGTTAAATTTAACATCATTGGGGGGGTGGGAGGGGAGAACCAAACAAACCCAAAATAGTAGCATTTAACTTCAAACGGGAACTACACAAAAATGAGGAATCTAGTTAAACGGAAATTAAAAGGAACACTCACAAGAGTGAAAGCCCTGCAAACTGCTTGGAAACTATTTAAGAACACCGTAATACGGGCTCAAACTAAATGTGTACTCAAAATTTAAAAAATAAAAAAATAGAGGACCAAAAAAATAAAAAAGCAACCATGTCTAAACAGAGTAAAAGGGGCGATCAGAGGCCAAAAGACATCCTTTAAAAATTGTAAATCCGATCCTAGTGAAGAAAATAGAAAGGAGCATAAACTCTGGTAAGCCAGTTGTAAAAAATTAGGCAGGCCAAAAAAGAATGTGAATATCAACTAGCAAAAGACACAAAAACTAAAAGCAAAAAATGTTTTAAGTACATCAGAAGCAGGAATCCTGCCAAATAATCAGTGGGGCTAGTGGACTATCAATGTGCTAAAGGAGCACTCAAGGAAGACAAGGCCATTGCAGAGGAACTAAATGAATCCTTTGCATCTGTCTTCACTGCAGAGGACATTAGGGAGATTCCCACACCTGAGCCATTCTTTTTAGGTGACAAAGCTAAGGAACTGTCCTAGTTTGAGGTGTCAGTAGAAGAGGTTTTGGAACAAATTGATAAATTAAACAGTAACAAGTCACCAGGACCAGATGGTATTCACCCAAGAGTTCTGCAGGAACTCGTATATGAAATTGGAGAACTACTAACTGTGGTATGTAACCTATTAGTGGATCGCTAATGCAGCACTGATTTTTTTTTTAAAGGCTCCAGATGCAATCCTGGCAATTACAGCCCAGGAAGCCTAATTTCAGTGCCAAATTGGCTGAAACTATAGTAAAGAACAGAATTATCAGATACATTGTTGAACACAATATGTTGGGAAAGAGTCAACATGGCTTTTGTAGAAGGAAATCATGCCTCACCAATCTATTAGAATTCTTTGAGGATGTTTACAAGCATGTGGACAAGTGATCTCCAGTTGATACACTATACTTGGACTTTCAGAAAGTCTTTCACAAGATCCCACATCAAAGGCTTTTAAGCAGAGTAAGCAGTAATGGGATAAGAAAGAAGGTCCTCTCATGGATCAGTAGCTGCTTAAAAGATAGGACACAAAGACTAGGAATAAATGGTCAGTTTTCACAGTGGAGAGAGGTAAACAGTAGGGTCCTCCAGAGATCCATACTGGGACCATTGCTATTCAACATATTCATAAATGCTCCAGAAAAAGAGGTAAACAATGAGGTAGCTAAGTTTACAGATGATACAAAATTATTCAAAATTGTAACACTTTGCAGTCAGCTTTGGACTTAACTAAGGGATTTCACAAAACTGGGAGATTGGGCAACAAAATGGCAGATGAAATTAATGTTGATAAATGCAAAGTAATGCACACTGGAAAAAAATAATCCCAGCTATACATACAAAATGCTGGGGTCTAAATTAGCTCTTACCTCTCTTGGAGTCATTGTGAATAGTTTCTGAAAACATTCGCTCAGTATGCAGCAGCAGTCCAAAAGGCTCATGGAGAGGGGTGAATTGAACGTGGGTCTCCCACATCCCAGGTGAGTGCTCTAACCACTGGGCTAAAAGTTATAAAGATGGGCACTACCACTTCTGCATGCTAACATGGCAGAGGGGCCTAACTCCAGGAGAGGGTTCACAGCTGAGAACAGCAAGCAGAGAGAGGCGCCTCCCTGCAGCTTGAATTTAGGTGACTATTTCTGTGAGAGTGGTGGGGTTTAGTACACAACCCTCTCCTTGGTATCGCCCATTGGCTAGCATTGGCGGCTCCCCGTCTAGCATGCTGGCTTTTTGTCAATCACATTCTAAGGCATCTATCTGTTCCCATTCATTGCATAGGGAGCCTAGGCACCTAACTCAGGCTCAGCATCACCATGCCTAATTTCTTTTGTGCATCTAGCCCTAAAAGATTGCCACATGGTGAGTGCCATAAGGTGGAAGTGTTATTTATTTTATTATTACCACACATATCCGTGTATCTTTATTTGGGGGCTGTTCTCTTTTAAAGGTGGAGAAAGTCTACAGCTGCTAATAGTAATTACACATGGGAATAAATTTGAAATAGAACAATCACAATTCCATTGTCTCCTTCAAAATCCCCACTCCTTGTTTGATTCCCCTCCTTTCCCTTGCCCACTTCCTCCATTCTGCTACTCATTGCTAATAGCAGTTGACTGAAGTGATTAAAAACACTGGGATTTTTGATGCACTCATATAGCAATCATGACTCAGCCAGAGCACTTTTCAAATTGGGATTTTTAAATTACTTTCACTTTGCTTTTGTTAGTGCCAACTAAAGAGAACATAGTGGCATATTAGAGGAAACCTAGTGGGTTAGGAGCGGAGAAGAAAAAGTGAAGGGAGAGATTTCAGGGGATTGGGGAGATGGAAAACTCGAGAACAAAAGGAAGGAAGAGAAAGGGACAGATTGGTGAGAATAAGAAAGATTTAGTGTGAGGGAGGAGGGCTGGAAAAGAGAGAAGCATCAAGGAGAAGGAGATGAGACTGATAACAAGGAGGGAGTGTAGGTGAGCGAGGGACAAGGAAGGAAGGAGACAGACATGGGAGAGAGATATTCCTATCAGGACCCAGGGTAACCATTAACTTCCATCCATATCTCCTACTGTGTAGTCTGTCTTCTCCTTTCACATGGTTTCCTCTTGACAAGAATTTAGAATATCCTATCTTGATGTCATGACACCTGTGGTTGAATGGTAGTGATTAAATTTCCCAGCCTCTAGGTGTTATCCTATCACTTCCTTGTCTGTCATTTCAAATGAAGGGTGGAGCTACATTTTCCTAACTGCATCCCAGTAACACCTGTTTGTATAGTAAAAACAGGAGCTGGATTATTGGAAGTCTGCCTTCTACTAGAAAATGACCTCCTTCACTTTCCATATGCTGCAGTTAACCACAAATATTAATGGCCTTAATTTATGTATGCTAAGATTAAAAGGTAATCAGGTCTCAAGTTTCAGAGGATTGAGTTCCTGCAAAAGGCACTCCTCCTCTGCTGCAGACTAGGTGGAATTTTAAAGGGAATGTCCTATTTAATCTATGCCAGCCACAACTATACAGTACTAAAACGTTACCGATTTCAGTAATCAAGTTATAAGCAAGTGATTGTGGAATCCTCCTTCCACCACTGTGTTCTGAAAGTACATTTCATTTGTAACAATCTCTTATACAAAATCCTACTGAAAGAATGAATTTGTCTGACATCAGAAATTGAGTCCTTTTATCTCCTTCTTTAGGTATCCAGCTGCCTAAGGAAGATGAAATCTCCATACCTGTGATATCTAATTCCCCTGCTAAGGATGCTGGGGAGAGTGTAGATCTCACCAATGAAGAGGAAGAGAAGATCAAAGAGGAACCTTTAACCATCTCAGAACTGGTGTACAACCCAAGTGCCAGCTTGCTGCCCACCCCAGTTGATGATGATGAGATTGACATGCTCTTTGACACCCCATCAAGAGCAGAGAATGAGAGAGAAGATACAGATTCATTTGAGGAACTGGAAGTGGATGAAAATGCGTTTTTGGTTGCTGAGGAAGAGGAGCTGAAAGAAGCCCGTAGAGCGCTTAGGTGCAGTTATGACTTTGTAATGGGCAACATGCAGGTAAATGCCTTTGTGAAGAGTTTCTCCAGGCTTCTTTTTGTAGGCCTTGGACTGTTGTTGTTTGTGTTTCCACTCCTGCTTGTCCTCTTGGAGTCGGACCTTGATATCTCCTTTCTTCATGAAATCCGTCAGACGCCAGAGTTTCAGCAATTTCACATTGAATATTACTGTCCTCTTAGGCAGTGGGTGGCTTGCAAAATAAACTTCATTTGTGACATGCTGGGAAACTCTTAAATGTTAAAGAAATACAATACAACTAAGGGCTATATTCAAAATTTCAGTTAGCACTAGCTTCTCATAATGCCCATGGGGCCATCAGCAGGTAGCTATCTTCATTTTCAATCCATTACAGACTGTTCAAGATCTAACATTTGCTTTTCATAAACAGTTGCTTTAGTTATAGGCTTATTTGGTGGCCTTTAAATAACCAAAAAGAGGTCTTATTTTTATTTCAGTGTTGACTTCCTGATCATCTGTTGTATCAGACAAGACTGGATAGTACTAGGGTTCATTATTTGTAACATTACAAGCCATGACATTCTGAATCTCAATGATAGTAGAGCCAAGAAGGAAATGTTTTTGAATATACTCCTTAGTGGTATAACAGTCTTTTCTAACCAATGCCTATACAAGCAATGTTTATGCTGGGTTTTTGTTTCTTGATTTGTTTTTTGTTTTTTATATTTTTGTGTTTAAAATATTTTGGTAAATTTTTAGCAAAAGATGACTTCTGAAGTTGTTTAAGTGTACAGATTGGTAAAATTAATGCACAAGGGCATGTAGGGGATTTTTTAATGTTTTACCAATGGTTTGTTTTTAAAATATTTTGGATGGACAATGAGTTTATTATAACTCTATAAAAGATGGCCTACAGTTTGTAGAACATACAGAAAGTTTATTCAAGTGCAGGGGGACTTGTGAGGGGAGATGAAATGACACAGAATCCTCAAGTAAGTTTTTAATGGCACAGTTCTAAAGCTAAAGGTGGTGAATATCATTGAGAAAATGATAATCCACCTTCATCTGTGTCCTGTCATCTTACACTTCAATCAGTGGTAAGTTTTTACAAGACAGTGCAAGTAAGTTTTGCCAGAAGGTGATGGATCTTTGGACTAAATGTAGATTATTGTACATAACATGGAAAGATGAAGAGATAGTAAATATCAGAAATGTCTAGTTATATTGGTAGATAAGTAACCTACTTTTTAAAAATGGCTAGAGAATAAAAAGTATACAATACTTTAAAAATCAAGGCATTAGATTGTACAGTTGACATGCAGATATTCTACTGAATCATAATAAAAGGACAAAATATTTTTAAGAGAAATATCTTGGTTCTTTATTCCTTTTGTCACTATTCTGTGAAACACATCCCAGAGAATCATCATTTAATGTGACATCATTTCCTGTGCATGCTGATTGTCTTACCATGTATGTGTGGCATTGTACTCATACTATTTCCCTATTGATAGGACTCCAGTCAATGAGATTCATTGTTACTTTAATGTGCTGAGGATTTGCTCCCAATATTGTGTAGAGAATATACATAAAACCTTGTGAGCATTTAGAAAAATCAGTAGGACACCCTTACCCCAATCCAAATGCTACAGAAAAATGTGCTGGAGCATCATCATAGAGGATTGTTGTTTTTTAAAGCAAAAGCATTAGGTGTGATCCTTCAGCCATAACACAAATAAAACTCCCATTAAAGCCAGTGGAAGTTTTGTCTATGTACTGGCTGCAACTTCACCCCATAATGTCTTTGTACTTTATAAAGAGATTTTTTTAAATAAGCGATATATTTGAGTCTTTGTCATATTGTACATACATATTGTAACAGTAACTGTAATTCATATACTTCAGAATTATTTATGGTTGACAAGGGGAATTGCAATTCTGCTTCCTCTAAATCTTTGCAAATGATCAGTTGGAAATTTCCAACAGGGGAATTTGTTTTATCCTTTGTTTTACCCTTTTAGAGGTGTCAAAAAAGAAATCCTAGCTCTTAGGAATTGTTCTTCTCCATTGTAACCATTTGGGTTGTTTCCTCATTTCCCAAAGAACAAAGACTACATAGAACCATTTAGTCCCCTCTCTTCTCACTTTGTCTTTCATCACTAGCTTGGTCCCAGTGACAATCACTATTGATTAGTCGTCTTGGTGTGTATTTCATCTTGCGTAATGTCCAGCTAAACAATCTGTTCCCCTTAAACAAGAATTATCCATCTAATAGAACTTTTCACAGTGAACTAAAGTAGACATTTGCCATTAACAGGATATTATTCATACAAATGGTTTCCTAAACAAAGGTGTCAGCTGATGGATTCTAGGGGGTGATGTTTAGGAAAGCTGGCAGCCTGCTAGAATACAGGGGCAGGTTCCATGCTGGATCCTATTTATTAAGTCCTTTAATTATAAAAAGTTAGGTGCTGTGTTCTAAAGTGTAGTTTTGTCTATGTAAAGTCATAGAGCTCCGGAAACAGGAGCATTTGTTTTGTTTGATTTAACTCTATCAGAAAATGGTTAATGCATGAGGAAAGAATTACCTCAGAGAATTGATAGTGCAATAAGGAGATATGTAGGATTAAATGCAAGTGTGTATTGTGTGTGTGTGTATTTTACTGTATGTGTATACAGCCCTGGTCTTTCAAATTCCTCTCACGATGTAGGAGCTTTTCTGGTCTATAAACTGAATTCCACTGAGAAACATAGAGTTCCTGTAACATACCATTTTACGGCGTAAGACTTGGGACTTTAAAGGGCTGGAACTTTGTGTATTACACACAGTGTGTGTATATTATACAAACACACACACAGTATGGCATATACATATCCACACACATAGAAACAATCTTGTATTTAATGCTGACGATGAGAGAGTTGGATTATGAAGAATTTGTAGGTACAGTATTGTGTATTTGTCTGTGCTTGGATATATGGTAAAATGTTATGTACTTGAAATCTATTTTGTGGTTTGTCATTTATTTATGAATGCTACTCTGGAAAGAATTAAAAATGGGTTTATTTCATAGAAATACAAAAGACCTGAGGGGAAAATGTACCTGTAACTCAAGCCTTATCTTTGTACAGTGCATTTCACATTTCTCTGTCAATATCCTGATTGTTTTGTATGTTGATATGATGGCAGCAATCCCTAATAAAAAAATATATATACTGAAAAAAAGCACTCTGCAATGATGGCACTTCTTATGATAAAGGAATGTTTCTTCGTGTTGGATATCAACCTAAATTCATATTAATCCTGTACTAACAAAATGTAGTGTTCACGATGTACTTTTTTGGGACTGTGCTGTCCTATGAAATGGTACAGTCTGTGGGACTGTTACAAGTTGATGTTTTCTATATATGTTTTAGTAACTGTGGGATATAGTATGTGTCAGTCTTTAAAAGAAGTATTTTTGATGTAAAACAATTTTCATATTTAGTTTGGACTTTTTGGTGTATTTCTGAACATTCAAAAAGTGTTATAAAGTCACACAGTTTAAGGCCAGAAGGGAACACCACATCATCTAGTTTGAACTCCTCTAGATCACAGGTCACATACAACACCCAGCATCTGCACACTAAACCCCAACAACGTTTGGTTGGCTTATACCATATTTGTGCATATGTATGTTTGTATTCTGTATTGAAAGCCAATACATATCCAGTTATGGAGATGCTAGTTGCAACTCTGCAGCTAATGTAGTGTTGAGTTATGCACTTAAAAGCAGGGACTCAACTTTTTTGTAACGTACAGTGTATTCTCCCCAAAATTATTGCTTTTACTCTGAATGCTGAATGAATTTTCTGAAAGTTAACAAATAAATATACAGTAACTCCTCACTTAACATTGTAGTTATGTTCCTGAAAAATGTGACTTTAAGCGAAACGATGTTAAGCGAATCCAATTTCCCCATAAGAATTAATGTAAATGAGGAGGTTAGGTTCCAGGGAAATTTTTTTCACCAGACAAAAGACTATGTACACACACACACACACACACACACTATAAGTTTTAAACAAACAATTTAATACTGGTACTCAGTGATGATGATTGTGAAGCTTGGTTGAGGTGGAGGAGTCAGAGAGTGGGATATTTCCCAGGGAATGCCTTACTGCTAAATGATGAACTAGCAATTGGCTGAGCCCGCAAGGGTTAACTCTCACACTCTTTAAGGCAGCAGGAATGGAGGGAGGGGAGACAGCATCGTAGACAGAGACACACACCCTGTGTGAGAGAGAGAGAGATGTGCATTGCCCCTTTAAGTAGCTGACCTTACTCTTAAGTACACTGCCTTGTTAATTAGAACAGGTTGCTGAGACCGCAGCTGCTGCCAGCAAGCTCCCTCCGTCCTGAGCCTTGTCATGTGTTCTCCCGCTCTATGGAAGATGGGGTAAGCGGGGTGCAGGAACAGGGGGGATGGGGACACCCTGAAAGCCCCTCTCTTCCTCCCCTCCCCCCTGCACAGCAAGCAGGAGTTTTGGGGAGCAGCTCCAAGGCAGAGGGCAGGCGCAGCACATAGCAGTGGGGGGAGGGACAGCTGAACTGCCAGCAATTGATAGCCTGCTGGGCAGCTGCAGCACAGGGAACTTAGGGGAGTGGGGAGCTGATAGGGGTGTTGCCGGTCCACCCTGATTACAAGCCCCCACCAGCTAGCTGCAACGGGCTGCTCTTCCTGCAAGCAGTGGACAAAGCAGGCGGCTGCCCAACGACGTTAGAAAGGAGCATTGCACAACTTTAAACGACCATGTTCCCTAATTGATCAGCAACGTAACAATGTTAACCAGGACAATTTTAAGTGAGGAGTTACTGTATTTATTAGTTTCAGTTAAAAATGAGTTTGCAGAGAGTCTGAAACAATAATTCTGAGTTGTGAATTGCCCCATTCCTGCTAATAGGAGCTAACTCAGATGCCAGTGAGGATACAGTATACTTTAAATTTCAAAATTGTTTACTATTCATCAAAGCATGAAGGGGATAAAGTATTGTATTATGAAGTTCTGCACTACCATTTCCCAAAATGAATGTGTGCAAAGGACTAACTGGGGGAGGATAGCACAAACTATATATAAACTAAGATGTGTAGACCTTTAAAGACACATGGTAGGATTGGTAAAGCGAGTCTCTGCTTTCAAAAGTACGGGAAAGTGCTGTAGGATTTGGAGGAGCTCATCAGCTTTGTGACTCCAGGAACGTCACTGCCAGGGATGAAAGTAACTTAAAGGACTTACCGGTACTCAGGGCTCCGCTGCGGTAGCGGGGGCTGGGAGCCCCTGGCCCTTTAAATCAGTGGTCTCCAAACTTTTTTGATCGCGCACCCCTATCAGTAAAAAAATTTTGAGCACGCACCCCCTGCCGGACTGAAGCAAAAAAAAAAAAGCCGCTTGGACTCCCTCCTGAAGCAAAAAAAAAAGCACTCCGCCTGCCGCACAACCCCAAGGATCCACCCCCCCACTTTGGAGACCACTGCTTTAAATCACTGTCCCGGGGCCTCTAAATCACCACCCGAGCCCTGCTGCCAGAGCCCTGGGATAGCGGCAGTGGGGCTCCGGCGGTGATTTAAAGGGCCTGGGGCTCCCGCCCCCCACTACCACAGCGGAGCCCCGGGCCCTTTAAATCACCGCCAGGGCTCTGGCAACGGGGCTCCAGTGGCGATTTAAAGGGCCTGGGGCTCCTGGCAGTGACTGGAGCCCCAGGCCCTTTAAATTGCCAACCGAGCCCCGCTGCCGGAGCCCCTGGGATAGCGGTGGCAGCCGGGGGCTCCATTTGTGATTTAAAGGATCATTTAAATCACTGCCTGAGCTGCCTCCGCCACCCAGGGGCTCTGGCAGCAATTTAAAGGCCTGGGGCTCCGGAACCCCAGGCCCTTTAAATCACCAGCTTGGGGAAGCCGGTTCAGCACAGCATACCGGCCGGACTGGACCGTACTGGTTTACTTTCACCTCTGGTCACTGCCTGTCCTGTTTGCACCAGCATACTTTGGATTTTCTCATGTCAGCTTTCAAGAAAGGTCTGAGTGATCTCCCGGTGTATACCTCAGCCATTGCAGCTGTTACTGGCCCTCTTGAGAGCAGAGACAATGGTCCACATTCTTGTGTTTAGCAATTTTTTATTCCTTAGCTTTACAAAGGCCAGTGACTGGTCCAGTCATTCCCAGCGGGATCTATCCCTCTCCTACAGATCCTTATAGGAACCCCATCTTAGTATTTGAAGCAGTCTCCTTTGTGTTTGATTTTTTTCAAGCTAGCTTAATGGCAATCACCTTGGCCAGATGAAGTCAGTGGGATTATTCCATTATACACCACTGTAAGGGGCTACAATCTGTCCTAAATACTGCACAGCTCCCTCATGGAGAATTAAGCTGCTCTCTGTCCTGTCAAATGATGTGTAGAGATGTAGAATGACCTGAATTTAAAACTATGGTGTAATTTTTAACAATAAAAGTCTTTTTTCATAACATACAGTCAGTTTGTCATAATCAATCACATGTCAATATAATTGCATCATAATAAAGGAGAACAACAGATCTCTGCTTTCACTCAGGGGAAGAGAGAAGGGAGAAGGAATGAAAACACTGTCCATAATGTATAGGCTAATTAAAATAAAACATGAATAAGACATGCTGCATATTTGTGGCATTCTGATCTCTCTCACTTTAGCTTTCATTTTTTATTTAGAGAGAGGTCCTTTATCTGCTGTACAGAGATAGCAGATAACACAATGCAGAAAGGAAGTAAACAGTAACCTATGAAAACTTTGGCATTGTGTCCCATTGGATAGAGACTGTGTACTTGATGTTCAGTCTTATGGTTTTTTATGTTCTGATTGGTTTAATTAGAGAAATGTTTGAGGTAAGATGAGGTGCATTTCTTATTTTGGAAAATAATTAACATTATGGACTGTGTTCCATGAGGGAGTGTATAATTATACATGACTGGAGGTAGCTATCAATAGAAGAAATTGAAAAGCCTCTCAATTACATTGCCGTGTGCCCTATTTAAAATCTTTAATTAACAAAAAGAATTAGCATATGAAATGTGTGTTGAAAAAGGGACTTTTTTAATCACTTAAAAATATTTTTCATGTTGTTTTTAATACAATGGCAACTACAATAGCCTATGCAGAAAACATGATAAATGGGAAGAGGTTGATTCATTTTTGGCTCTCTTAATGCATTTTATCAACTGGAAATAAGGAAAAAAAAGTGAGCCCCAGAAAGCTAATGATTCTCTGCAGCTCACCACCACCAAGTGTTCTACGCATTACAGTTTGAGAACCCCCAAATTAATTACCAATCCTTGCTGGAGACCACAAATGATTTCAGAACAGCTTTTACTAGTCAGTTTATTTTGGGCCCAGCAAAGGTCCTTTCAACAATCCTTTTGTAATTATTAAATCCTAAAAATTTTGTGCACACCAAAAAATTGAACAAATTCAAATTTGTCATGCCAAAGTTATTCAACTTTTAGGTACTGAAGTAATCATGGTCTTTGCATCCTCCTAGACAATCACACAAAAGGAAAAACAAAGCTGTTTTTCCTTGGTTCTGAAAAAAGCATAAAATCCACCCGTATTCAATATCTTAGCAGAGTTCAACAGTTATCATTCGCAAGCAATACTTGTGACAAAGATTTTTAATCAAAAGTTGTAACTAACTTTTCTTCTTTAAGGCTGGCTAGTAAGTGACCTACTGGCAATTCATAGATTTTAAGGCCAGAAGGGGCCGTTATGATAATCATATCCGATTTCGTGCGTAACACAGGCCATATAGTTTCACCAGACATTTCTACAGTGGAAAAAATTATTGTTCTCTACTATATAAATGAATATTGAGTCCAATAACTTGTGTATGAAATAGTGAATATGTTCTGTGTTTGTACAGTGCCTAGTGCATGGGAGGGGGGGGAGAAGAGGTTAGTCCATGACTAGGGCTCCTAAGCACTACAGTAGCACTGACCTCTGCCATTTGAACTAATGAAGTAATTGGTAGCAGTAGTAGGTTGTTATCCTCTGTGTGGACCAAAACACCAGAAAAGAATGAGAGAGACATTTTCCTAGTGGCTTTCATGACTCTTTGATGATGTTAGAGGAATCTTAAGACTCAGAACTCCTAGTTTGATTTCAGGCTCTGGAGGGGACTGTTCACTAGTGGTTATAGACACTTCTGCCTCCATGTGCTAATCACCCTCTGCTCCTATCCACTCCTCTACAAACATCTCCTAACTTCCTTCCACTCTGCTCCTATCCACTTCTCCACTATGTCTTCTCTCCCCTTCATCCTTTGTTCCTATTCAACACCCTCAACCACTCCCCAGATCCTGTCTCCCTCCCCTTCTGCTCCGATCCAACCTCCACTCCCATCTCAGCTCTCTCCCCTCTTATCCTCTGTCTGTCCAATCTCCCCACACCCTGACCACCGCTTCCTTCCCCCTCTGCACCTATCCAACCTCCCCATCCCCTGGCTCTAACCCCTTCTCTAACCCTCTCGTGTGGCCCGGCGCAGGGACTGGGCACTGCAGGCAAGGCCTGTGGGGAATCCCGGGCTGGGGGCAGGGCTGAATGAATGTGTCACCCCCGCACACGAACACTTGGCCAGCCGCCCACTCACCTCTCCCGCCATGCAGCCACCCCTCCAACCACACAGTCATGCAACTGCCCACTCACCCCATTCCTGTGCGTTTAGCCACTCAGCCGTTCAGCCAGCCACTTCTCCAGCCACACAGCTACTAGTCCAGCTACTAGTCCAGCTCCCGTCCAACCATTCAATTGCCCATGCAACCGCCCATTCACCTGCCCCACCATGCAACTGCTGGTTCAACTATGCAGATAGGCAGCCAGACACATAGACACCTGACCATAAACCTG